CCCTAAATTGATTTACATCTCCTTTGGATACCTCCGTGAATGGGTGATCCAAAGGAGCCCTTAGGCGGATATATGGACATCGGACAAACTCAAGAAAGTAATTTCAATTTTTTCCTTTCTTTTGATATAATAATAGCAGCTCACCTGTTGGATTATTAACAAAAACAGAGATGAACAACGCAATCAACACACAACCATGCAAAGAAATATCAAAGTTAGGGGTAGGCAAGTAGTAAGTAGTGGCAATGTGCCATGTACACATCAAATTCTCCTTCAATTAAAAGCTATTTGTAAACTCTGTCATCAATAAAACATAGACCTATTTTTAATCATTTCATATTATGCTATAGTCAGTCAATAAAAGAACATAAATAAGCAAACAGGAGAACACATGCACCATAAAACAAAATTAGCAATTACAAACTTGCCCTTTCTTTACTCCTTCAGATTGTTATTGCAACTTCAAAATTTCTCAAACAAAATATTATAAACATCAGCTTCAAAAGTATTTGTAGATTATTACATTGAAGACACATCTGCACAATGTGTTATAGCGGCAAGCAATCTTGGCATCGGGGGTATATCAAACTCTTGGAGACCATCAAGAACTCGGACCACTTCATCCATTGCTGGCCGGTTGAAGTCATTATCTTGGATGCACCAACATGCAACTCTGCAAACCCTTTCGACTTGTTGCATATTGAAGTCGCCTTGTAATTCTGGGTCCACCAAACTCTGCAGGTCTCCCTCATGAAGCTTGTTGATGACTTGCACAGGGAAATAAGAGACATGGTAACTGTTACCGGTATGCACTTGTGGTGAGTTCCTTGTTCCTGATATGATTTCCATCAATACCATACCGAAACTATAGACATCAACTTTTGGTGTAATAGCAACTCCACTAAGCCACTCAGGGGCAAGATACCCTGCAGTGCCTCTGAATGTAGTTAGAACTCGGCTATAGTCTCTTCCCACACACGCTGCCATCCCGAAGTCTGCAATTTTAGGAAGAAATGAAGCATCGAGAAGTATGTTTTCTGGCTTGATATCACAGTGTATGATGCATTCACGACAACTCTTATGCAAGTAGAGCAATCCTCTAGCAACTCCTATGGCTATTTGATACCTGGTATTCCAATTAAGGACAGGAGAATTGCTCTTAAACAGATGCCCATCAAGAGATCCATTTGGCATGTGTTCATAGACAAGTAGTCTCTTGTCTCCACCACAACAGAAACCAATCAATTTGACTAGGTTGATATGTTGGATCAATCCGATTGAGCTCACCTCAGCCCTGAATTGCTTCTCTCCTTGACGAGCACCATCAAGCCTCTTCACTGCTATGATAGTTTTGTCATTTAACACTCCCTTGAATACAGAACCAAAACCACCTCCTCCTAGCCTTTCGGAGAAATTTTTAGTAGCACGGCACAAATTGTTGTATCTAAAGGCTATAATTCCCCCACCAGTACCTTGCATGTCATGTAGTTGAGCATTGCACCACATGGATCTGTTCCTCCGAAACATCAACAACAGCATGAGCATTATTAACCCAAAACCAGCAGTGCTTGCAACAATAACAAGTCTTGATATTCCTCTGTTGTTTTTCACCATACTTTGATAATCTCTCTCAGCAAGGCGAATGTAAAGAACATCCTGAGAAACAATACCATTACCATCATCCTGATTTACATTAAGCAATTCTCCATGCCACATAGAGCATATACTGTTGTTATAGGCATAAGCAGTGCAAGAGCAATCTCTGAGGCAAGCTCCCGCGCAATCGCTCTGCGTAGTAGCTTGTAATCTCCGGGGATCATAGGGCAATGTCACATGAGCTATAGGGTGGAACACATCAGCGGACCTAGCTGTGCTTGTGTTGCTAGCAATGCAGTCTAACGGAGTATTTCTGGCACACCCTCCTGTCCGATCATCAAGCTCCCAAGCATGAGGCGACCTCTGAGAGAAGCCCTCCATACAGCCACAGAATGGACTAGTATTGCCATTGCAGACCGTGAAAGGTCCGCACACAGCATACGTTGTGCAGAAATCAGAAGGCTGTGCATACACGGTCTGCCAAGACTCCGTGGCTTGCGACCAAACATTCAGCTCTAGTTGACCGGTGATGCTTATTGGAACAAATATGGAAGATGAGTCATCCAGCAAGGTGTAAGTGAAGGACACCTCTTCGTCGTTATCGACAAATGTGGGCTTAAGTAAACCTTTAGTCCGTGGATCCATTTCTAGCAGTGCGGTCAGCACCGATACAAGCTCCCCTAGCTTTCCAGACGGCCAAGTCCAGTACGCTACAAAGGGGGGCTTGCGGCTTCTAAGTAGCAACACCCCGTCGGCGTCTATTTCGACGGAGTATGAGCCGAGGCTAGGATCTATCAGGCTCTTCTTTGAGATGAACTGCCGGCTAAACCCTGTGACCTTGTTTCGTCCTACCTTGGCACCAGGAAGCCCGACATCCGTTGGGTAGTCGAAGCTCTGCCACAACGGTGCTACTGCTGGGTTAGATGCTGTTGTGTTTGGTATGACGGCAAGGTTTCCGGTGCTCATGAGAACAGCACTGGTGTTGCTTGTGCTGTTGACAACAATGTTGTCAGTGATGGACCAGAGTATGGATGGTTTAGTACTGGTGGCATTGTTTAAGATGATGACGAGGTTGCCATTTCTTGAGATTTTGAGCTGTGCTAGCTTGACCTCGGTGTCAGTGATGGGTCTCTCCCTATTAGCAACCCAAACAGTGGTGACAACTGGGATCTTGTTGAACCATATGCCGAGGTACCAGCCAGGGGAGGAGGTGGTGGTGGTGACGGTGCTGGGGGACTTACTGATGTTGCCTGTGGCTGGGACTTGATGCTGGAACTGGAAGAAGCCGAGCGCGAACTTGCCGTTGCTTGAGACCAGCTTCTCACCCATGCCGAGGGCCTCGCCCGCCGCAAGAGTATCACTCTTCGCTGTTGCTGCCAGACATGTGGTGTGCAAGGAAGAGCACAGGAGAAGCCCTCCGAGTAACATGTGCAGGAGCGCCATGGCTGTAGAAAATATGTATGGATGGATGGATGGACTGCTACTCGTCGGAGGAGGAAGAAGAGAGGATATATAGAAAGTGGAAGAAATATAGCTTCGACTGCCTATGTTCAGGTAACGTGGAAGAAATAGCAACGGCGCTGCAGGTCCAACTGCCTGCATGTTCAGCACTAAACCTTTCTTTTTTATATTTTTTTGGTACGGAGATCAGCCATCACCACCAGCAACCTGACCTTCCTGCCAGTTGTACAAGCTATTTTTTAAAAACGAGTTGTACAAGCTAATTGGTACAACTACAACCACAATGCCAGGAGAGGTATGTACTCCTTATATCAACCCAAAACTGTCATACAAGATGGTACTTTGGTTAGCCAATTCTGTAGAAATATGGCATTTCAAATAAAAAGAATGCTACATATTTGTGGAACTGAGGTATGTACTAGTATTTCTCAAAGTCAATATAACAATGATAACGTCATTAGGAAACATAACATCAAGTATTTTATGATCAATTGCAAATGATTGTCAACAACATAGAATCCTAGAGAACCACTTAAATCTCAGATCTTAGGGTGTCTTACCATAGAAAAAGTACAGGGGCTTAGCCGCCCCTGTATATTCCAGTCTCCGTCAGCTTCATTTGACCAGGCAGTGCTGCACTGCTGCCAGCCATGCTCAATCACGAGGCTTGGCGTCACGATGCAGATGGAGCTGATGCCTCCACCGGCTCGCCCCATACATGCAGATGGAGATGGAGCTGATTCCATTCATGCCACGCACTGGGAAATAGAATTCTTTTTTCAGTGTTTAGAGCACACATATATAGTAACATAAACAGTCTCCTCTGATGGGCTCAGGGTCCTTATGGTCGAGACTGTTGCATTGGGTCCTTCTTGGCCTTCCTGTTCCTAGGTATTCAGAGCCTTTTCAGATCCTGGAGCACTTCAAAGTTCAGCATGCAGTTCCCAGCTCGTTACAAATTCATCTTCAAGGAGGTCTTTGCCCTACCATCGCGCAAGAGATGTTTTTTTTCTAATTAGTTCATGGCTAGAGAGCTTTGTGTAATCTTTTTTATCTATTTTTTCTCTTTGTCTGTCTCTTAAACCTTGTTTGTTGCACCTTTTGCCTCTTCCTTTTAATATGTTTTCAGTACAGATTTCGGTCCATTCTGTTTTCTAAAAAAAAAGGAGAAAACCCACAAAAATTGCTAAAGCGTTCCTCTTCCAAAAGAACCCAACCCAGAGTCATTTATTTTGACATCTCTTGTAACGCCCCAGGCCCGGCACACGGCGCAGGCCCACTCTACCAAGGGGTGGGCCCCACCTACGTAGCAACCCGCTGCGCTTTCGTCTTCGCTTCTCACAAAATGATTAACCGAAAGTTACTACGCATCATTGGCCTAGCTATTTAAGTCAGTCTGGCCGTCCTAGTATTCGGACTAACCCCCTGGTTGTACAGTGACCGAGCAACAGTAACCCAGAATTGGCCCGGCCCGATTCGTCACTACAGTGTTTGTAGCTGCAGTACTCGGCCCACATCCCACCTGTGCAGTTACAGTACCTTGGCCCAATCGGAATTCAGCCCTTTTAACGGGGTCTTCACATCTCTGAAACATATATATAGGAAAAATTTGGAGAGAGAGAGAACTCAAAAGCTCTGTCCTATATAACAGAGCAGAGCAACTCAGCTAGCAGACATCCTCAAAGAAGCAGCATATCTCTAAGGTCAGCAGTCAGTAGTGGGCTACCGGCATGAATCCAATTCTCCATAAATAAAACATACACATATCACCATCTTTTGCAGGATTTTTGCTACAATCAGCGTAAATGAACAAACAAGAGACACATCCACCATGAACACAAATTGACAGTTGAAATCTTGCCCTTTTATTCTTTCAGATTCGCCATACAACTACCACATGTCAACATTTGCTGAAAAAAACTACTACAAAGTACGGTGAATTATTACATTAACTCCACATCGGCGTGTTCCGTTATAGCTGCAAGTAGTCTTGGCATTGGAGGCATATCAAGTTCCTGGAGACCCTCGAGAACCCGAACAACATCAACCATTGTTGGCCGATCACATTCGTTGTCTTGGATGCACCAAAATGCAACTTTGCACAACCTTTCGGCCTCTTCCAAATTGAGGTCTTCCTGTAATTGTGGATCAACCAAACTCTGCAGGTCTCCCTCATGAAGCTTCCTGATGGCCTGCACCGGGAAATACGCAACATGGTAGCTGCTCTTGCTGAAAACTTCTGGCGTGTTCCTTTTTCCGGATATGATTTCCAACATTACCATACCAAAGCTATAAACATCGACTTTCGGTGTGATAGGAATTCCACTAAGCCACTCTGGGGCGAGATACCCTGCTGTCCCTCTAAACGTAGTCAGGACTCGGCTAAAATCCCTCCCTACAAACACTGCCATCCCAAAGTCTGCAATTTTCGGAGCAAACGACGCATCAAGAAGTATGTTCTCTGGCTTAATGTCACAGTGTATGATGCATTCACGGCAACTCTGGTGCAAGTAGCACAATCCTCTTGCAACTCCAATGGCTATTTTATACCTTCTGGTCCAATTCAGGACAGTAGCGTTGCTCTGAAATAGATGGGCATCAAGGGACCCATTTACCACATGCTCATACACGAGTAGCCTCTTATCACCTTCGCAGCAAAAACCAAACAATTTGACTAGATTAATATGCTGGATCATCCCAATCGAGCTCACCTCGGCCCGGAATTGCTTCTCTCCTTGGCGTGCATCGTCAAGTCTTTTCACCGCAATAGCTGTCGAGTCTCCTAACAGTCCCTTGAACACAGAACCAAAACCGCCTCCTCCAAGTCTGTCACTGAAATTTTTGGTAGCACAGCATAAATCGGTGTATTTAAAGGCTATAATTCCTCCGCCGCTATCTTGGATGCCGTGTAACGGAGCATTGCACCACTTGACTCTGTTCCTCCAGATCATAAACACTAGCATGAGCACTACTATTCCAGAACCAACAACACTTGCGGTAATTGCAACCGTTGGTGTTCTTTTGTTGGTTCTGTTCAAACTCTGAAAATCACTTTTAGCAAGGCGAAGGTAAAGAACATCTTGAGAGCTAAAAGCATTGCTGTCGGCCTGGTTTACGTTAAGCAGGTCTCCATGCCAGACAGAGCATTTACCATTGCTATAAGAATAAGCTGTGCAATTGCAGTCGCCGAGACAAGCTTCCGCACAATCGCTTTGTGCGGCGACGCCTTCTATTCCCCGGGGATTATAGGGCAAGGTCACTTGAGCTATAGGGTGGAACACATCTGTCGAACCTGATGATGTACCGCTTCTGTTGCTAGCTTTGCAGTCCAAGGGAGTTCTTCTTGCACACCCTCCTGTCAGATCACTAAGCTCCCAATCCCGTGGCGACGTCTGAGAGAATGTCTCCATGCAGCCACAGAACGACGAGGTGCCTGAACCTGAATTGCCATTGCAGACCGTGAAAGGTCCACAGACGGCAAACGTGAGGCAGAAATCAGAAGGCTGGGCGTAGATGGTCTCCCAAGACTGCTTGGATTCCGACCAGAGCATGAGCTTGAGCTGGCCGGTGATGTCGATCGGGACGAAGACAGAGGCCGACTCGTTGGTGATGCTGTAGGTGAAGTACACCTCGTCGGCGGTGTCCATGTAGTCCGGTACCAGCAGTCCCTTGGTCCTCGGATCCATGTTGATCAGAGCCGTCAGCGCCAACACGAGCTCCTCTAGTCTCCCGGACGTCCATGACCAGTACTTCACGATCGGGGCGTTGCGAGTTGTGAGCTGCGTGAACCCGTTGGAGTCGATGTTGATGGAGTACGAGCCGGGGCTTGGATCGACCAGGCTCTTCTTGGAGATGAACTGGCGGCTGAAGTAGTTGCCACCGGCGAGCTTGTTCCAGCCGATCTTGGCGCCCGGAAGCCCGACGTCGGTTGGGTAGTCGAAGCTTTGCCACAAGTAGGAGCTGGTGGGTACTGCAGTGGATTGGGTTTCTGGTAGGAGGGCAAGGTTGCCGGTGTTCATGAGGACGGCATGGACGCTGCTAGCGTTTGTGGTGCTATTGGTGACAGCAGAGGACCAGATTGGGGATTCATCGGTGCTGGTGTTGTTGGTGACGATGAGTTTGTTGCCATCTCTGGAGATTCTGAGCTGGGCTACCTTGAGCTCGGATTCAGTGATGGGTCTCTCCCGGTTGGCGATCCAGACCGGGGTGCAGACCGGGATCTTGTTGAACCAGACGCCAAGGTACCAGCCGGGGGAGGAGACGGTGCTGTTGGTGGCGGCGCCGCCGCCCCACTGCACTGCCTGGCAGGGTTTGGCGGAACTGGAAGAAGCCGAGCGCGAACTTGCCGCTGCGGGAGACGAGCTTGCCACCGGCGGCTAGCGCCTGGCCTGCCGCGAGAGTGCCACCGTCAGCAGCAGCAGCAGGAGTGTGCAGTGAAGAGAAGAAGATGAGCGCAGCAGCTAGTGCTACGTAGAGGGGGGTGGGAGGCAGCATAGCCGGAGCACGCGAGGCAACTGGGGAGACGATGATGGCGGAGAGGAGTAGGAGCACACATCAATAATAATAGTGTATCATAAACGCATAGAGACAGTGGCGTGTGTGCTGATATGCTGCTGTCCTGGGAAGCACAGCTACGTATTGTGCATAAAGAAAACCAGAGATGATGAGCTGAATTGCACAACCAGTAAGGCAGTAAGCAGAATTAGAAACTCTAGTGCTAACTGTTGAGTTGTGATCCAAATTCAGTTATGTATAAGATAAAGGCTGACTTCTGTCGGAGCGAAGCGAGCCCCGTCGCCGGGAGGCTTGAGCCGAAGTGAAGCGGTCTCTTAAAAACTTGAGTCGATGATTTCAAAATAAGATATACATTCGAAGCCCAAAATATTACTAAATCTATGAAAACCTATATGTCTTTCACTAGCTCCCCTGTCCGCCAGGAGGGTTTCAAGTGTGTGGTGAACTTTGGAGGTAAAAAATGCACGGCTATTCCTTTTTTTACAAGGAACAGATAACTGAAGCAGCATTATTCAATGCTAGAAATCAAAATTCTTTGTTTTAGTTTTTTCAGAACGTTACCTTAGCACAATTGCATTGGCCGGCACAAAGGACGATAAATCATGCACGTTCGACCATGTTCCTACCTAGGGACAAATGCATGTCAGGAAAATTATTATATGACATTGTGGAAGATGCTCATCGGGCCGGGTACGCAGAAGATGCTCATTGTTGAGGGTTGTGGACTCCAGTGAGCCTGTCAAATGATTGTTGAGTTGTGATCCAAATTCAGTTATATACAAGATAAATGCTAACTTTTGCCGGAGCTAAGCGAGGCCCGTCGCCGGGAGGCTTGGGCCGAAGCGAAGTAGTATGGATCGTCGCCTATTAGGGTTTTTCATCTCTATATATACCTCCTGTAAACCGTCGTCTTGGGATAAGAAAAGTTGTAAATCCTCGACGTTTGTAACCTCACCCGATATAGTGAAGATTTGCTGGTTGGTGCCCGTGGTTTTTCCCTTCTTCCTTGGAAAGGTTTTCCACGTTAAAATCTCGTGTCCCCTGTGTTTGATCTATTGTTCTTCGTCGTTTGTATTGCCTATCGTTTCTAATAAGTGGTACCAGAGCTTGGTTTCACATTAGGGTTTCGCGATGGCATCGATGAAGTTTGATCTACCGCTGCTGGATTACAAGATGAGATTTGCGCTGTGACAAGTCAAGATGCAGGCGATTCTGGCACAATCTTCGGATCTTGATGAGGCGCTAGATAGTTTTGGAGACAAAGGGCAGAAGTCATGGACCGCTGAAGAGAAGCGAAAGGATCGTAAGGCTCTGTCTCTGATTCAACTTCATCTACATAATGATATTTTGCAAGAAGTGCTGCAGGAGAAAACTACCGTAGAACTTTGGCTCAAGCTGGAATCGATCTGCATGTCCAAGGATCTAACCAGTAAGATGCATGTGAAGATGAAGTTGTTCACGCACAAGCTGCAAGAAGGTGGTTCGATGATGAACCACTTATCGATCTTTAAGGAGATCGTTGCCGACCTAGTGTCGATGGAGGTAAAATATGATGATAAAGATTTAGCTCTTCTACTGTTATGCTCGCTGCCTAGTTCATTTGTAAATTTCCGAGATACCATACTATTAAGCCGTGATGAACTAACCCTTGCGGAAGTATATGAGGCCCCCTAGACGAGGGAGAAGATGAAAGGTATGGTTCAGTTTGACGTGTCATCCTCCAAGGGCGAAGTGTTGTAGGTTAGAGGCAGGCCCGAGCAGAAAACCTACAACAACAACAATAAGAAAGATACTCATGTCATTGAGGACTGTTGGAAGCTGCAGAATAAAGAGAAAAGAAACGGTACGTATAAATCGAAAAACAAATCAGATGGTGATGGTAAGGCCTTTGTTGTCTCCGCTGTTGATAATTCTGATTCAGGAGACGTTCTTGTTGTTTTTGCTAGTTGTGTTGCTGGTCGTGATGAATGGATACTTGATTCTGCATGCTCGTTTCATATATGCTCTAACAGAGATTGGTTCCGTTCTTACGAGTCTGTGTAGAGTGGAGATGTCGTGCGTATGGGAGATAACAACCCACTTGGGATCGTGGGTATTGGCTCCTTTCAGATCAAGATACATGATGGCATGATACGCACACTGAAAGATGTGAGACACATACCAGGGATGGCTAGAAATCTCATCTCCCTCAACACACTTGATGCCGAGGGGTACATACACTCCGGTTCTGGTGGAGTATGTAAGGTATCAAAAGGCTCTCTCATTCATATGATAGGTGATATGAATTCTACAAAGTTATATGTTCTTAGAGGAAGTACTTTACGTGGTTCCGTCACTGCTGCTACTGTTTCTAATGATGAATCAAGTAAAACTAATCTCTGGCATATGCGTCTTGGGCATATGAGTGAACTTGGTATGGCAGAATTGATCAAGACAGACCTGTTGGATGGCTGCACTATGGGTAAGATGAAGTTCTATGAGCACTGTATTTTTGGTAAGCACAACAGGGTAAAGTTCAATGCATCTGTTCATATCACCAAAGGTACACTTGATTATGTACATGTTGATTTATGGGGGCCGTCTCGTAAGCCCTCTTATGGTGGTGCTCGTTACATGCTTACCATTATTGATGATTACTCAAGAAAAGTGTGGCCTTATTTTTTGAAAAATAAAGATGATACTTTTGCTGCTTTTAAAGAGTGGAAAGTTATGATAGAAAGACAAACTGAAAAGAAGGTAAAATTGCTTCGTACTGACAATGGCGGTGAATTTTGTTCGGATGCTTTTAATGATTACTGCAGGGAAGAAGGCATTGTCAGGCACCACACCATCCCGTACACTCCTCAGCAGAATGGTGTGGCTGAGCGCATGAACCGAACCATCATCTCGAGGGTTCGTTGCATGTTGTCCAATGCTCGTATGAACAGCGCGTTTTGAATGAGGCTCGCTAACACCACATTTACTTGATCAACCGTCACCTTCTATCCCACTTAATAAGAAAACTCCCATTGAGGTATGGTCCGGTATGTCTTGATTGATTATTCACAACCGAGAGTTTTCGGTTGCACTGCATATGCTCATGTTGATAATGGAAAGCTAGAACCTAGATCCATTAAGTGTCTGTTTCTTGGTTATGGTTCTAGAGTTAAAGGATATAAGTTATGGAATCCTAAAACTAAAAAGACTTTCATGAGCGGAGCGTTGTTTTCAATGAATCATATGTTTAATGACAAATTGTCCACGATGTGTTTTTCGAGTTGGTTCTGATGAGGAGAAGCAACATGTTAGCGTACAAGTGGAGCACGTAGATGATCAGGAAACCAAAATTGTTGATAACAATGTTCATGATATTGTTCAACACTCACCTCCTGTTTTGCAGCCTCAAAATCAGTCTATTGCAGATCGTAGAACAAAGAGGAATTGTGGACCTCGTCCACATTTAATTGAGGAATGTGATATGGTTCATTATGCCTTTAGTTGTGCTGAACAGGTGGAGAACATTTATGAGCCGGCTACATACACTGAAGCTGTTGTTTCTGGTGATCGCGAGAAGTGGATTTTCGCTATGCAAGAGGAGATGCAGTCACTCGAGAAAAATGACGCATGGGATGTTGTGCACTTGCCTAAACAAAAGAAGGCCATTCGTTAAAAATGGATCTTCAAGAGAAAGGAGGGTTTATCTCCCAGTGAGCCTCCAAGATTTAAGGCAAGGTTAGTAGCAAAAGGTTTCAGTCAGATTCCTGGTGTTGATTATAATGATGTGTTCTCTCCAGTTGTAAAGCATAGTTCAATTCGTACAATTTTTCGGTATTGTTGCTATGTGAGATCTTGAGCTTGAGCAGTTAGATGTAAAGACTGCGTTTCCACATGGAGAGCTCGAGGAGGAGATATATATGGACCAGCCAGAAGGGTTCATAGTACCTGGTAAGGAGGATCATGTTTGCAAATTAAAGAGGTCCTTATATGGTTTGAAACAGTCTCCTCGTCAATGATATAAAAGGTTTGATTCTTTTATGATGTCACATGGTTTTAAGAGGTCTCAATTTCATAGCTGTGTGTACATTAAATTTGTTAATGGATCACCTATATACTTGTTGTTATATGTTGATGATATGTTGATTGCTGCCAAGAGCAAGAAAGAAATCACTACATTGAAGAAACTGTTGAGTAGTGAGTTTGAGATGAAGGATCTTGGTGCTGCTAAAAAAATTCTAGGTATGAAGATTACAAGAGACATAAATTCTGGTTTGTTATTTCTTAGTCAGCAAAGTTACATTAAGAAAGTTCTTCATCGTTTCAACATGCATGATGCAAAGTCTGTTAGTACTCCTATTGCTCCTCATTTTAAATTATCAGCTTTACAATGTGCTAGTACGAATGAGGATTTTGAGTACATGTCAAGAGTTCCATATTCTAATGATGTTGGTTCTTTGATGTATGCCATGGTTTGCTCTCGTCCCGATTTATCATATGCTATGAGTTTGGTTAGTAGATACATGGCTAATCCTGGTAAAGAATATTGGAAGGCTGTTCAGTGGATTTTTAGGTACCTTTGTGGCACAACAAATGCTTGTTTGAAGTTTGGCAAGACTGATAAGGGATTCACTGGCTATGTGAATTCAGATTTTGCTGTCGATTTGGATAAGAGAAGATCTCTCACAGGTTATGTGTTCACTATTGGTGGTTGTGCTGTGAGTTGGAGGGCAACATTGCAGCCCGTTGTTGCCCTATCTATCACTGAAGCAGAATACATGGCTGTTGCTGAAGCATGTAAAGAATCGGTTTGGTTGAAAGGTTTGTTTGCTGAGCTTTGTGGAGATGATTCTTGCAATAATTTGTTTTGTGACAGTCAAAGTGCTATATGTCTCACTAAAAATCAGATGTTCCATGAGAGAACGAAGCACATTGATATCAAATACCATTATGTTCGCGATGTTGTCGCGCAAGGTAAGTTGAAGGTATGCAAGATAAGCACACATGATAATCCTGCTGATATGTTGACAAAGCCAGTTCCTGTTGCTAAGGTTGAGCTTTGCTCAAGCTTAGTTGGTATAACTGTTTAGCCCAAGAGGCTATTTGGCACCGGAAGTATTTTTTTGTTGTTTCAGGGTGAAGGTTCGTTTTATGCTACAAGAAGGAATTTGTCTCAAGGTGAAGTTTGTTGAGTTATGATTCAAATTCAGTTATGTACAAGATAAAGGTTAACTTATGCCGGAGCGAAGCGAGGCCCGTCGCCGGGAGGCTTGGGCCGAAGCGAAGCGGTATGGATCATCGCCTATTAGGGTTTTCCATCTCTATATATACCTCCTATAAGCCATCGTCTTGGGATAACAAAAGTTGTAAACCCTCGACGTTTGTAACCTCACCCGATATAGTGAAGATTTGCTGGCTGGTGCCCATGGTTTTTTTTCTTCTTCCTTGGAAGGGTTTTCTACGTTCAAATCTCGTGTCCCCTATGTTTGATCTACTGTTCTTCGTCGTTTATATTGCCTATCGTTTCTAACACTAACAAGAGTCCGTTTGACAGTGTTCTTTGGAGCAGGTTCTCCGTGATAAAGAATCACTCCTCAGCCAAACACTAAAAGTCCGCATATAGATTCTAGTATAGGGAGCGAACAAGAATCACTTCTCGCGTTTATATTGGGAGATGGGAGCTAATGGCTCCATTTAAAAGTTAATTCATCATTCTCCCTACTCAATCCATTCGGTTGCTCCTATATATATAGAGAGAGATAGAGAGAGAGAGTATATTCAGTAGCCAGCTACAAAATAAGTTATTCTGTAGCCACATTTATTTACGATAATTTTATATACTAATTTACGATAATATCAATACATATTTACGATAGTTGGGTTACTACAACACATGGGGATATTTACCATAACGTTATAGTAAACCACTTAGTAAGGAGTTACTATAATATCGTAAATTAACATAGTAATTATCATAACTCAAAGTGGCTACAGAATAAGTTATTTTGTAGCCGGCTATAGAGTAGTAGTATATATATATATATATATATATATATATATATATATATATATATATATATATATATATATATATATATATATATATATATATATATATATAAAAGAATCAGAAACTAAGAATCAGAAGGTGTGGTCCTCTATCAAATTAAATAGGCTCCAGGCACCGAGTTGTATGCCTTAGACTATCTCCAACCGGCCATACCTAAATCGGTGACCCATTCAGGTATTTGGGTTCGGCACAGTGAATGGGTCACTGACCCATCCCCTTCCTTCTCCAACGGCTGCCACCTCCACTTCGGTCCGCATCTGGAGGATGCGCCACCGCCGACGGCCGGAGCCCCAGCGGACGCGGCTCCCTCCTCCCCCTCTGTCGGCTCCGAGCCCGCGAGCGCGGCTTCGTCCTCCCCCTCCGTCGGCTCCGAGCCCGCGACCACCGACGCCTCGGCCGCTCCCGAGGAGGCCGCACAGCCGTCGCCCCTGGCCGCGGGGCATGGCCGCGGGTCCGGCTCTGGTGGACGCGCCGCCACCTCCACTTCGGTGCCATCGCCGACAGGAGCCCCGACACCTGCTGCGTCTTCCTCCGGTGACTCCGTGCGCGCGGACGCCGGAGTGACTCCGTGCGTCTTCCTCTCTCTGCAGTGTTTTGCGTCGTCGAGAACACCGACGCTTTTTTGCCTTCCGAGTTCGATGCTAGGCAAAATGGCTGCCGTGTTTGCGTTCTCCATTGGACCGTGATTTCGGACGTAAACACTGTGTACTAGCCATTTTGCGTTTGGGTCGCGGTTTACCTCGCCGTTGGAGGCAGTCTTAGGTCCATGAGGAGAGATGGACAACTCACATATACGCCAACATTTCTCCTCATGGAGGCTCCCTCAGAGTCCTTGGACGTGGACAACTGTGTCTATCAGGATTCGAAATCGAAACCTCTAGATTTGATACCATATTGAGTTGCATGCTGCAGCGACCAATTAAATCAAAAACTTAAACTGATGGAGAGAGGTGAACAATTCATTTGTGCTACAACACTTTGGTTGAGATATCCATGCAGGTATAGTAAGAGTACTGATTACTATCTAGTAGTAGCTTAAGTTGACTAGTAGTAGCAGCTAGGAAGGACAGAGGCGGGCGGGCGGCCGGGTCAAATAGTTATCTGGTGACCTGTCCTAATCCATCGATCAACAGTCTTGTGGGTTGGAGCAGCAGCACGTTAGTCCGTACGAACGAATATGGTGGCCTGGCATGCACTGCACGGCCGCCCGCGACTGGTGGCCGGACGGCGGCGTCAACGACGACCCGGCGCCGGCGGTGACCATCTCCATCGATCTCCCAGTAGCGGTAGGGCAGTGCTTGCATGACATGACACTGATATGATATGCTGGTGCGTCGTCGTCGTTGCGCGGCACAGCGAGGGCCACGTGCAGCCTCTCCTGCCCATGCATGCATCGGCCGGGATCGGAGCGGAGCGGAGCGCCAGAAATATCTCACCAATCAAGCTAGCTAGACGACATCGTATCCGATCGATCCTCCGGAGCACTGGCCTCCTGCCTGCCTGCGTGTGAGTATACTGGGTCTGAGCGTCTTTGTACAGCTCTTCCGACCCTCGATCTAGGACGTTACGAAGAAGTGTTGTATTAAATTTTTTCTCTATCTTAATACAAAGACGCGCAAACCTTTTACGTGATCGGAAAAAAAAAGTATGTGACCAACGTGCAGAAGCTCCAAAGTGTCGATCCGTGTGTACAGATACGACACAGCTAGCACAAGTGCACAACACACGCATACGCAATAGTGTTATAAAGATAGCGAGTTAGACGTAGTACGAATTGGGTACATGGCCCCTGCTAGTTTTTATTTTCACACGTAAGGCATGCATTTTGCCATGGAGCTCCACATGCTCGCGGTGAAGTTGGCAGTTGGCACTAGAGACACTCAGGCAGTCAGATACTGCAACTTGTGGTCTCAAATTTTGCTGCCTTTCATTTAGAGCTAGATATCGAACCAGCTCGGCTCGGCTTGGTCCAGCTCGAGCTGGCTCATTAGGCTAAAGAGCCAGCTTGGCTCAGCTCGTTAATATTAGGAGCTATTCCTCTTTTCCTTGATGAAGTCCGCCGGGAATATTCGGTGCTGGGCAATAATCCTAGTCTCCCTTTTGAGTCAACTTCTTCGACCATGGAGGTCTCATGTAGAGCAGTTAGGTGTAGTGTAGCTATATATGCTACTGCTACGAAGGTCCATTGTTTGTCTCCCTCTCCCTCCCTCCAAGCACGGAATATGGCTTGCAGCGCGGCCGGTCATCAGCAAGTCAAGCACGAGGCTACTAGGCTTCAACGGATTGCAGTCCTGTCATGTCCTGTCACAGCTTTAATCGTCCTATTCAATCCATTTGGTCCATCCCTGTGTGCCAAACAACACATGGCAAAGAGATGTGTTGACGTTAATGGATCATCACACTAGTAAGGAACTAGATGGTTCATCAGTAGAGGCAGACGGAAGATCAGTTTAGCCGACGTTTTATGTCGGCCGGCATCTAACAATGTGTTCACAGACAAATACGCACTTTACCCCATGCCTTCAGTGATGAGCATAGTACGCAAGACAATCGACGAATAAGCCTTGTCGAGGACTCGATACCCATGACACGCTGATGAGATCGCTTGAAACATAGAACTTATCACACAAGATTGGATGAGTTTCTAAAGGAAAAACACGAAATTGGGCTCGACTATCAAAACTGGCCTAGGCCGGTTACACAGTACATGGCGAGGACTCAAGCAAAACCGGTCTATTTGCAAAAATTGGCCTGGTCCAGTTTGGTAGGATGATACTAGCTAATTATGCCCAAATTGCTCCAAATTTGATCGGTTTTGCTCTTTTTTTGTTTTGCAAATGTTTTCCAATCCATCTTCTGCTCTCCGATCATTTTGGTCATCAACAGGATGGTTCCTCTAGGTCTACAAGAGCTCCTTCAAGATGAGGGGAGTAAGAAGATTTTGTGACCTAGCATTCAAGAGTTGGATTAGTAAAAAAATCTACTAACAGATCAGGGATGGCGGTGCCTCTGTAACCCTACCACTGGTAGAGAACAAACCTTTGATTCTCGGCCAAAATGGGCTCTAGTCCCGGCATTTTTTGCACCCGGAACTAGAGATACCTTTAGTCCCGGTTGGTGGCTCCAACCGGGACTAAAGGTCCCTCCCAACGGCTACTGCGCCAGACAGAGGTGGCAGGGACCTTTAGTCCCGGTTGAAACCACCAACCGGGACTAAAGGTAGACTTTTACTCCCGATTGGTGGCTCCAACCGGGACTAAAGGTTTTTGCCACTGCAGGAGCCGTTGGGAGGGACCTTTAGTCCCAGTTGGAGCCACCAACCGGGACTAAAGGTCCCCCCTTTATATATCGGCCGTCTCCTTCTTCCTCCCCGAGCCCAAGCTCAACACATTTTGAAGCTCACTGCACTAGTGTTCTTCCTCCCTCCATTGTTCCTCCATCCATTCTTCGATTCCTCCGTCGATTTCTTCGATTCCTCCGTCGATTCTTCAGTTGTAAAGGTTACCAATCTCATACTCTCATTTTTCACCATTGTCTTATCTCATTTTGTTCACTATATATATATGGTTCTTTATTGTGGTTTTTTTTTCATTTGTAAGCAATTTGAGCTCAAAATCACTTCAAGCTTGCATATTTACATGAAGGAAGGTTAAAGTAGCTATTAAAAACTAGTATTCACCGTTCATTTGTAGCATGCATAGCACACTTCATTGTTTAGAGATATAGAGAATTTTAGAGTTTTTAATTT